GGTTATCGAGGGAAGATGTTCAACAGATTTTATTAAGTCATATAACGTGTTACTTTCAATATTATTTCACTGATTTTAGATATACAATTATTTATTGAATATTTTCCACATTTCTACTGCCACCGCTCTCCATTGACTCTTTGCTGATAATTAATAAGTAAAAACTATTAGTCAATAAATACCACTTTATCTCCACACCTAATTCATCTCAGTTCCCGCTAAAAACAATATGTAGCCGTGAAGTGAAGAATTCTTGAATCTCATTACCAAACCCATAAGGATTTAAACAAGAAGAATAAATCACTACAAGATTTATGCGCTATGTTTTCTTTGTTCTTTAAAGCTCAACTCAGTTGCTATTCCCAAATATGGAAAAATTAATGAATTATCTATGAAATCAATTAAATCTGAATGACGAACGCATAATACGAACAATTGCACAACTCAATCTAAATTTAAATGAATTCTAAGTGAAATAAACTTGGTTTTGTTGTGATTCGTTGCGATCATGACAAATGTAAAAAGCAGCCAGCAAATGTCAAGTGTCAATGGCAGCAACAAATGCAGCAACAGCCACAACAGCAACAACAGGAACAGCATCAGCGATGTCCAACACCGACAATGGCATTTCATTGCTGCAAATGGCACAGTTGTTGTAGATGTGGAAACCAAAATTGCTGTGTAATTCGAGCAATTATTGTCACGACCGATGGCACCAATGAATCGGTTTTTGATTCATTTCGATGGGATTAAAGTGCAAAGAAGCATATGTAGTTCGAACGGCTTTGGACACCTATCGAAAGTGCTCGAAAAACCCATTTTTTTGAATTCTTTGAAGACTATTCAAATCTATTATCAATAAGTTTTTGTTGTAATAACAGTACAAAATTTAATTGTTTTCAATGACGAGTGCTTATTTTAGATAGTTTTTTATATTATTTTTATTTTTAAAGTTTTGAATGAAAGGAAGAACCATGAAGATGTGAATATCTTTAGTTATTCATTAAATATCCGATTTATTTAGTATCTCAACTACCTATTTTCGCTGATGTTTCGGTCTCATACAGAAGAGCTCCACTTCAAGCAATGGAACTTGTTGCAATAAACGCATGAAGGGCGGCATGGACGTCACCTGAATGACAAACAAAGCGAGAATTACACTTTCAGAAGGCTAAACTAAAACCAATACTGCACCTTTTCTTTGATTTAAAGCGAGTTATACACATTGAATTTGTCACTGAAGATTAGAATATCATCTTTGAGTTCCATAATGAATGTCAGCCAATAATTCTATTATGATAACCACTGCAAGTAAATTATTTCAATTCCATTAATTCCAATTCCAATTATACAAAAAAGTTCGATCGACAAGACAGTTACGTCAAAGACAGTTTCGACTCAGGAGTATAAAAAATTAATTTGAAAAATTAGTCGAACCTTTCTAAGATTCCGTTGACTGGAGGACTATTTTAAATAAATAAAAACAATGATGGACACTTCGTATTTTTTATGAAACTAGTCATATTGTACCCTGTACAAACTGTGTAGACTTCTATTTCATGTGATCAACACTAATCAACCTTATTTAGGTATAGAATTCCATTTCAGGAGAACGACGAAGGCAGATAGTTATAAACCTCAGCTTCTACTAAGAATGGCAAATAATAGAATGCTGATATGCAATAATGAAAATATTACTATATAGAAGATAAAAGAGTATCTGTGGCTCACGCAAACTTAGAATAATTAGTTAATATATAGAGACAGAACTGTTTGTTTGTAAAATAACCTTAGATTTTCAGCTTTAGATTTGTTTTCTTAAAATCCTTTATGTTACTATTCTGTACAGTAAAAAATAATATATTAAACGGATATACAATAAACCTTTCTGTACGAAGTTTTCTTTCTTGTTTTGTAGCAAATTTTGAATTTGTGAAAAATCTAAAAGAATAAGTAATAAGTAATACATAAACCTACAGCCCACCCCTTCTTCATCTCTACATCTACCAGATTCTTCAACTGGGCCATTAGTACTTTACATGCGAAAGCAGTAATGATGCATGGCGCAACAAATTGCATTCATAAATCGTCAATTTCATACACGAAAGTATAACTCCTCTCAATGCAAATATGTTGGCATATCGCCTGTGATATGAGCTCTCCTAAGTATCTGTGATAACTAATAAACAGAAACAGATACAAATTTATTCGCAGATACACAAACTCAGCTAATAAAACGAATGACCACATAAAATTCTACAGTTTCGACAGTTATTACAAATTGAAACTGCAAAATGTGATATATCTTTTTTTCGGAGTAGAAATATCGCATGCACTGATGATGTGGCGCTTAATATATAGGTGAAGTGACACAGTAAGTATGGGAGCTGCTTGTATATCAAACTTGCAGTAGAGAAGGGGTTATCTGCTACGTTTCAACGGTTCGCTGTTTGCTGCTTTACATAAAATGTGGGTGCGTAGTTATCCTTCAGCTATCGAGCAGAAATGTTTAGTTTCATTATTGGGACATATATTCTGGTCCGCATGTTGAAGTGGTTACTGCTAATATCGTAGTTGCTGTGGCTGCCGTGTCCTTGTTTTTTCTATAGCACGTTTATGTCACCTTCGTGCACTTGCTTAGTAACTTGCAGGATTTTTACTTTGTTTTGTAGTTTTTTCGGTTCACTTAAAGTGTAACCAAATGATGCACTCACAATTTACAACGCGTGTATTCCCCGCCACCGACGTGGCATGCTCAACAACATCAAACGAGTGGAGTTGGTGCCACGTAAACGTGTAATCGCAACTTACAAAAGTATCCACTTGTGGGGGTGTGTGTTCCGCGGTAACAGCGTTGCCACAATTCATCAACTGAAAAATTAAAAACACGGAAAAGCGTAAAAAATGAAAGCCGAACACAAATCGTAAAAGGGATTATCGTGGATTTTGCAAGGGATTTGAATATTTCAACCAGATTGGAAACAATTTTAATCGATTTCATATTTGAAAAACGCAGCCTTAGCCGCTGTATGACTAAAAAGTTCTCATTTTTCACGTCATACGAAAAAGACAAACCCTTTAAATTAATAATTTTTGACACTCGAACTGGGTATGCGCTTTGACGTGTTAATAGCTCTGGAAGGACGTTTTGTGATAAATTTGCAAGTTCGATTTTTCCGCATTAAAACCCAATAAAATTCATGCAGTTTGTTTTTTGTATTAGGAGATTGTTTTTTTTTTTTGAATTGTTTTGTAAATTTTTTTCAACAATCACGTTTTTTATTCAAAAATTGAAGTATACGCAGAGTAAAAATTTATTGTGAATCCATTCTGTCACAATCAAAGCGGTCATATTATTTAGAAAATTTTTGAGACTCCACTTAACACAGTGGAAAACTTTTAAAAAAATTAGTTACCCTTCAAACTATAATGGAATATCATATTCATTTGTAATCCATTATTTTATTAATTGATATAGGTCAAGTAGTTCAGGTAGCATGCTGAGAAAATATGCTTTATATCTCAGCTAATATGTGCGTCACATATTTGCTATATATAGCAAAACAATGAAGTACTTCCTTTAATATTTCTCATATAATTTTTAATAATCTCTCTGGGTTGATTTACTTAGGTTTAAATTTTTCGAATAAAAAACTAAAAACTTTACAATAGTTGATTTGATATCCATTCTTCGAAATTGATCCTTTTCCATTTAAAATAGATTTCTTCTCATAGGACAAAAATTGCCTTTAAATAGTTAATAAGAAATACTCTGTCTGGTGCCAATGGCTCTTTAATACATAAGAAGTTCATATTTTGCTTTGACGTATTTAAATTTTTAAAATCAGTCAGATATTTCTTTCTTCAATTCACGTGGCGTTATGGCCACTGTAACCAACTGTAACCCACAGTATACTTAATATTTTTATGATTTCCAATAAAATCGGAAAATCGAAAATATATCAAAAATTCCGTAAATCCATCATACGAAAGCATTGAATGTTGTGTAAAAAATTTGTAATTTATGTTGGTAATTTAAGTGCTAAAAAACAAGAAGAAGAAGAAGCTAACAAAAACTGCTTATAAAAATATTTTCAGTAATAATAAAAACTATAAAGAAAAACACATTTTTGGGGTTCTATATTTTAAACTCATCATTCAATACTTTTGTTTGAGAAATGCCATAAGCTGGAATTTCAAAACTACTTTTTTTATTGAAAATGAAAATTTCACAACAATTATAAAAATTTGCTAAATTTGATCATAGGTACTTAATTAAGATCACCTTGAAAAATCTATATCTTTCATATACAATGAATATGCAAGCGTTGACAAAGCATTCACTACTGTCCTCTAAAACTTACCAAGCTTATAACCAGAATTTCTTTAAATTATCATATTTCTTTCTTTGCTTTGGTTAATTTACTACATTTTAGATTCTTTTACTAAAATTAGTCGCATTAAATTTTACTTCTTACTAGTTATCGAATGTATGACAATTATTGTTGGGAAATATTTCAACACTTAAAGGTAACCTACTTCTTGGCATTATATACAATAGCGTTAACAGTGCCAAAAAACATGATAAAAGTTGAAGCAATGCAAATACATTCAAATATTAATAAATGAAAAAGGACACTCAAAAGAACTCACACAACAGCTGCCAAAAATACTTTTAGGCTGAGCAACTGATAGGCACCAACTCTACTGTCATTAAACTAAAATGTAAAACATACAGCAGTTAATAAACTTCGTCCTTTTATTAGTAACAAGGAACTGAGTTATACAGAATTTCCAAATGCTCATCGCCTAAAACTATGCTATGAATGGTAAAAATAAACTGCAATATAGTTGTTAATTTTTGTAAATTTGCATTTACTTTTTAATTTCGCTTAGCCTAATTTGTGGCATTATAACTTGCATAAATATGCATTATCTTGGCTTCTTTACCTAAAAGTATGTTAATATATTTTTATGTATCCGTTTTCTTCCTTTTGCAGTACAATTACCTGATGGAGTATGATTATCTACCAAAGTCCGACATCGAAACTGGCGCACTACGTACGGAAGAGCAGCTGAAGGATGCCATAAGAAACTTACAGGTAAGTGCTAGCGTTGAGCCAAAAGTTGTTTTAGAAAAAGTACCTAAAAATACTCAAAAAAACTTTTTAAAAAATAATAATAGCAAAACAATGCAACAAATACGACATCCAGCATATTTTTTATCTTCTTATTCCAAGCATTTTGCTTTCTGATTTTCTACTGCTTGCAATTTTGTTTAATGTTTTCTTCTTGTCTTGTGGCAACTTCTGTTTTGCAGCGATTTGGCAACATTCCAGTGACCGGCGAAATCGACGCTGCCACACGTAAGCTTATCATGAAGCCACGTTGTGGCGTTGGAGACAGCAGTCACACGAATAATTTCTCACCGGATAATCTGCAACATGGAAGTCGGATGAAACGTTATGTGCTGCAAGGACCTAAATGGGATAAAACGGATCTAACATGGAGGTAAGTGCTTGCCAAAATTGCTTGTAAATTTTTTGCGTTGCTCATTTTCTACGGAAGAGTATGCAAATCATCCTAAAAGTAGTCTACATTTTTATTTATACATTTTCTTGTTTTGCTTGTTTTTCACATTTGCAATTTGATTGGTTGTAAATTTTGAACATATCACGATTTTAAATATTTTGATTATAATTTCAAAATTTAAATTATTTTTAAAATAAGAAAACATTAAGATGATATAAAATCCAAACGATGACTTCTAAATTACTTCAGTAGTTACTGCTAAGTCTGAATATAAAGGCGATTCTCCGTAAGTGGTTAGCCTAGCCTGATTATCGCCTCTTATTTTTGTCAATTCTTTGCCTTTATAGTTACATATAATTCCATATGTAATTCATTCCATTATGTAAAAGGCTTTTTTGTGACTTTTAAATTGTTTTACCATGTGTTCTCGCTATGAAGTCTTAGCCGTAAGAAGACTTAGAAGTCTTGAACTACTATGTCGGATACTAAATCTAACTGATCAAAAACTGTACATTCAATTTTTTTTATTCTCCAGAGAATATTGTTAAAGAATTTCAATTTCATACCTGACGAGATCAGTCAAACAATAGATGAGATCGGATTCAAAGCAACATTATCAAGATTTGCGTTATTAGTACTAACTTGAAGGGAAAAAAATAGTAAATTTTGGGTTCAAATCATAAATAAGTTTAATTTAATGAGAATATCAGTTTCACAGCATTTGATGCAAAGACATATTATATTCTTTTGGTATAAATGTTTGCTTGGGTGACAAATAAACGAAATACTTGTCGAAAAGATTTGTTTTTGGGTTGGCAGAAAATTTCTGAACCCTTATCAACACCGCTTTTATATATTGTGAAATTGATCAAAAAATGTGCTTGAGCAGTTACGTCAAGCTACATCCTTCCAAATTATTGGTAAAGAACTTTTCAATATCGGTGGGGATGAAAGTCTAAAAGTTCTTATACACTTTAAAATAATTTAGAATGCCGGTACATATATTAATTTTCAAAAATGATTCACTAATAGTGCATAGTAAGAAGAATTATTTTTATAAATGCCTTGGTATTTATGATATATGTGCATCATTGGCAGTCAGGAGATGGAAACTAGTTAATGTTGTACTATTTAGCCCTGGAACCAAGTGTAAAATAAATTCTAGCCTCTAAAGTTTATTTCACAGACTTAAGGATCTAATCAATTTATGTAAGACTTCTTAAAACTCTTTTCTAAGATAGTCATTGAGAAAGACAATACAGGATCTGGTGAATATGAAAAATGCTTCAGCGTTTTAACAATCCAGGATAGCTGATTCTGGATTAGCATAAAAGACAAGAATGAAATCATTTGAAACAAACAAGCTCACAGGAGTTAATTTGTATGTATATACATACATATATGCAATTGTGTGTATGCAGTTAAAGACGTGAATTAAAAAACTCGTAATTAACAGGTGCTATAGTAATAATTATTATTATTTTATTATTTATAATTTATTTTATTTTCGTATTTTAACACATTTATGTCCTTCAGAATTGTCTTAGCAATTTACTTGCTTAATGGTCCACGTGTGCACTTTTATCACTCACATTTGATTGTTTTTGCCTAAAACTATGCTTTCTATTTTCTATTTTAATCATGGTTGCTGGTGCTGTCAGAGTTCGTGAATAATTAAAATTTGCAAGAAATCGCAATTAATTTTCCAGCTTTTTAATTTTATTACATAAGATAATTGTCTCTTATGTTGTTATTGTTGTTGCTGTTGTTGTTGCGTATCGTTTAAAAACATTGCTGTTGTATGTTTATTAATTTTGCTGTCACTTTGCCATTTTAATTTCTGCTTCATAATTTTTTAAATGTTTTTTAATTTGTTTTTATAATTTTTTTTGCCATTTGCTTTTGATTTTTGTTTTTTTTTTATTTTGCAGTTAAATAATTTTCTTGTTTTCCAGTGAGTTTCAGTTTTTTCCTTCGGTATTCATAATGGTTGATTACTGTTGCTACTATTACCCTTCGTTCGACTTCCACTACTAGTTCAGCTTCAGCTTCAGCTTTGCTTCGCTTCAGTTCTGCTTTAGCTTCAGCTTTGACGATGTTTTCAATTAATTCAAATGTCAAACAGAGCGTATCGTTTTAATTTTTATTTTATGCGCAATTTTATGAAAATTTTAAAATTATTTACATTACGTTTTTATTTCATTACGTTCAACTTTTTTTTTGTATTAATAAGTTGACGATTTTTTCTTATTTTGATTCGTTACTTTTGCAACCCTTAAGAAAATTTCTTGCTTTTGCATAATTTGCAGAAAGTGGGGTGGCGAGAATTCCTAACTAAAAACTAAGTGCGCTTTTATGCAAAATGCAACTTCAAATTGTGTCTTGTCTTCTCGTGTTCCGTACTTAAATCTTTGCTGCTCATCTAATGATTTCTGTTGTCGTAAGTAAAGTGGGCGTGTTTTTATTACGCGTTACTGTATTTCAGTTTATTTAGTTTTATTTCAGTATCGTGCATTGTGCCGCTAACACTCTCCTGTGCCCTTGCTGCAGTTTGCTTCAAAGACGGAAAATAAGCTTTAGAGTTCATTAAACATTTTGCGTCAAATTGAATTTTATGCTGGCAACATCAATGCATGCTCTAGAAGTGATAAGTAGATTGCAAATTACTGTTTCTAATGTCGATGACGTTGACGATGGTGATGACGCTGCTGTGCTTCTTGTCCGCTGCGGTCGTTATCATTTCATATTGTAGCTGCCAATTTCATTTGAGATCTTGGATTTTTCTGTTACTGATAAGAGTACGCGCTTGTTCACAGGTTTGTCTCGCTAATGTGCACAGTAATTTCGCAACTCCACTTGCATCTTTTGAGTCCAAATTAACTTCATTGCTTAATTAAAGTCGAAATGGCCACTGCGTTTCCCGAATTCTGCTGTTGACTTTCCTTCGCCTTTTCGTCATGGCAACGTAAAAAAGTACCTTCGGTCATTAACTGAACTGAACTTTTTAAAGTGTAAATCAGAAGAAATTCTTACTCTACTATTTTTATGGAGTTTTATTTGTGTTCTCATTAAAGTGATCTTTCACATTACAAAAAGTGCCTTTACTTGAGAACGATTATTTCTAGCGTATTTATAAAAACGCGGAAAGTTTTTATTCAAATCTTTTTACCTTTTGCAAACAAACCTTTTTATATTTTATAAAAAATAGGAAAAAATTCGTTAGCTATGTTTTGATGTCTGTACTGGAAGCTGTGCCCAATACACGAGTAGCTACAGTAGCTGGACATAGTAGTTGAAAATTTGAAAACTGAATTTAAGCAGTTGCTGGCTGCTATATTTCATATAATTGGACAGTAGTGAAAGCCGTAAGCTACTAAGATGGAGCGACTTAAGCTGAATTATACGGACTTACCTGGACTTACTCTTGATTTGCCAAATTTTGTTGGCGAATCGAAAATTTTTAGAGTAATCTAATATTTACATTTTTCACAAATGCATATATATATCGAATGAAATCACAGTTTATCTGTCAAATCATATAAAATAGCTGTTAATTTCAGTGTAATCTTGCTGCTCTGGCAAAATGTCTAGAGTGTCATAAATTAATCTCGAGTGTTATATATTTCGCTTAAGGATATTGAGGATTAAAAGAATATCTCGATTAAATATATTACTCCGGATTTACCAATCGAAAACGCGTATGGTAAACTTATATAATAGTTATGAACTGTAAGATGTGCAAACAAATGTTTTTCATTATCCCTATAATTATGCAATAATTTTAATACACGTTTTCTATCACCGTAGAACGTTCAAGTTAAAACGTTTGTTGTAAAAAAATACCACGGTTGTGAGATGCAGAATTAATTATAATATGAAATCACCTTGCTAGAGTGTTATAAGACGGATAACATATGTTCTGTGCCTAGTTTGTTTATGTCAGATTTAATTGATAAATCAAAACGACCAGTGCTTACAACTGTTCCAGAAAATAATTCCAGAAAAAATTTCGATTTCGAAAAATTTCGAAAAAATTCCAGAAAATTTCGATTTATTATAATACATTCATGACAGCTTCATTTATAAATTATTTAGTTATTTCGTATTAAATTGTATTGAAATATGGCTAGTGGAGTGGCTTGAGCTTCTTGAATGACAAAATTTGTTTTCATTTTGTTTATATTTTCGGATTCACTCTCTTTTTGCCCCTGCTCATGTTACCGTAAGTCTGTTCGGGTGCAGGCAGCAATCTAAATTGTTAATCGAAATGTGAATAGAAATTTGTCGACGCAACAGTAACTTTGTCTTGCTCAATTAAATTTTGAACGTCATTTCACACCAAATTAACAAATTGCCAATATCCTTGAGGGTGTATTACTTGTTGCAAAACTAAAGGATAAGCGTTGAATGGTGAACAAATGCAATTACAAGCTAACAAGTACTGCACTTGTACGCGAATAAGCAAATATTATGTTTTAGCAGATGAGATAGGACACGCGGTTATGCTATGCGCTGCCCTCTTAGTCTGCAAACACTGGACTGAGGCGGAGAGTATGGGTAGAGAGGAGTGGGTTGCAAGTAGCATGTATCAAATAGGGAATAATTGGAAGGTAATAGTATGTGAGTTCCTTTTGTATGTCAATTATAATTTCCTTTATAAATTAGGTTCGCTACTTTAATAATTGTAGTTAAGTGTGTGTTTATTTATGCTGTAAGTACACTCACACACTTACGCATATTTACCCAACTAACTTAACCATATTTTATGTAAACGCTTACACACCCATCACCCCACAACCGAACGCATCTTCGGTAAAAGGTTCTGTTGCGCTGGTAGTTGCGTTGTTGCGTAGTTGCTTCTAAATAATGGAACTGGATGTGATTATAAAGTAATTGTATTATTGCATTTAGTGTTTGTATAATTGCAGTTGCTGTTGTTTTTGTACGTGCATTCACTGCTACTGCAGTTTGAGTGAATTTTTGCCGCAGTTGTCTGTCGCTAAATTTGCATTTAAATTACAAAG